GTTCAGCTTTCAGCCCTTTTTTTGAAGTTCTGAATGGTGTAGGGTTACACTTGTCGTTCATAGATTTATTTGAACAATGGAATAAATAGTGTTTTCTGTTTTACTTCAAAGAATTGCCAAGAAAATGCTTTTAGAAGAAATCAAAGCCAATCTTTCCTCTGATGAGGATTCATCTTCAGATGAAGAGCCGGAGGAAGGAAAAAAGAAACCTGCAAAGCAGCCTGAGAACACGGGAGATGATGGTAAGCACCCAAAAACACCTGGGAAAAAGTGGTGCTATGGCGCCTGTCATGATTTCAGAGGTCACTGGGGAAAATTATAATTGCTTAAGTTTCTTCAGTTTTCAGCAAAAAAATGTCATTGGTGTTGATGGGTAGTTGCCAAAGAGAGCCCAGTGTATGTGGTCATGAGGATTATCATCTCTTTCAGTCTTTCATACGTTTATTTTGTTGCTACTAGTCTGGCTTTTGTAATCAATTTAGAAATCCGAGGGCTTTGTGAGGAGTAATCTATACAGAACAATAAGTTCTGCAAGTGCACAGGAGAGATTTGGCTAACAGAGTCATTGAAACAGGCATTTTAAACATTCAGGCAGCATAAAATACTTAACATTTGGGGAAACTGGTATGTTGTTGCTTGTAATGCCCTGGAAAACCACAAAATTTAGCCTAAGTTAATTCAGATTTCAATTCTTGCCAAATTTAAGTCAGGCAAAAAAAGCTGACCGGTGTGTATGTGGTACTGACTCTTATATCTGACAGGAGAGAATGAAAAGGAAGAAAATAAGTCTGTAAAGGAAGAAAGTAATTCTGAATCGGATTCAGAGGAAGAAGAGTCATCCAAGAAGCCCAGATACAGACACAGGCTGCTGAGGCACAAGCTCACCATGAGTGATGGGGAATCTGGTGAAGACAAAAAGGTGGTGAAACGAAAAGACAAAAAAGAAGGGGGGAAGCGTAGAAATAGAAGGAAAGGTACATAATCCAGACCTTTTTTGTCATAAAAAGTATTTGCTTCTATAAAATAAGTCCAAGGCTTTTCAGAACGGAGATCTCAAACTGTGATTTTAAAATCTGTGTAAACTTCCTTGTGTATGAAATCTAGGATTCTCATATCTTTGATTAATAAATTGTTTTATTTGAAATGTTGAATACAAGTGCAGCTCTTTCCCCTTCCTCTGACCTCTGAATTGGATTAATCTTGTGGTGTCTTAGAATACTCATCTGAAAGAGCAGAGGCAAGCCCAGATGTCCAAACTGGGAAAATCAGTCCTGTCATTTCTGTACTTCCTCTCTTCCCCTTGGACTGTTGGTAGGCCCTGGAGCACGAGGAACCTCTCCAGGCTGGAATTGCAGTGTTGCAGGCTGTAGCTGAGCACCAGATGGCACTGTGAGATGAGCCTTGCCTGGGGCTTTGGTTTGCATTTCTGCAGGGAGGAACAAAGAGTCTGTCAGGTGTTGACAGTGTCCCATGGCCAGGAAAAGTGCCCTGGACCTTCCTGTCCTCGGTGTTGCACTAATGCCAGCCAGCTTTTGTGGGCTTCCACAGAATAACAGTTGTGATTTGTTTAGCATTTTCCTTCATGAAAACTGTCCTTTTTATCTGATTGTATAAGTCTGCTTTTCCTCCCTTATGGAATTACTGACAACATTTCTTTCAGGAGAAGTAACTGTAAATTACAGTGGCAGTGTGCAAATAAGATGCAACCAGGCTGATTCTCAGGGTACTTTAGTGTCAGCCTTTTAAGTTCACTACCTTTAAGTAGAACAATACACTGTATTTCACCTTGTCCTTTTATCCCTATGTTATTAATGTTACATTTCCCCAAGTATGTAAACCCCAGGTTTTAAGCCCTGTTAAAGTTTAACCGAGTTAAACTCTCCACTGTTCAAGGTCAAACTGAAATTAAAGGTGCTAAATGGCATTCTAGTGTCTTAATTACCTTTTTCAATGCCAGTGATAGCTCCTAAAACTAGTTATGAGAGTATTGCCTAATAGTGCTAGTTTAGGTGTATTTTTAATTGCCCTTTGAGTGAGTTTTGAACTTGCATTACCTGAAGAAACATCAGGCCATAAATGCAGCAATGCCGTTGCATATGTTGTTAGTAAATAAGGGCTGTTTTCATGAAGTATGATTATAAAATGACATCTAAAACATTTGAAACAAAAGCTTCTGTTTAACTAAGAATCATCTTCTGTTTTCTGCAGTTCTACTCTTCCCACTGAGGTCTCTCCTCCTCACCCACAGTCTTTACCTTCTGATATAATACTTTGTCATTTGTCTTGTAAACTGTATGTAGATATATTCACGCATAAAGACCTCAAGTCTTGTTGGCATAATACACCATCTCCCAGGACTCAGCTAGTGCTTCAATATTAAGCTTTTCTCCTCCGTACCCCTTACATTCCTCTGACTTCTTATTGCTGTGCTTAGCGGGTCTGATATTGTCTGAAATGAACCTTGGCAGTGCTCGTTGGTCTTGACCGATTTGTTGAACCATTAGAAGTTGCTGACTTTGCAGCGATGCTCCACGTGAAATCGTGTTTTATTTTTCAAGTGAGCAGCGACGATTCCAATGACTCCGAGTTCCACGAGTCTGCAGTGAGCGAAGAAGTCAGTGAGTCTGAAGATGACCAACGTCCAAGGACAAGGTATAAATAACACTCTGCTTATCCTGAGTTTGGGTTCTGGTTTTTAAGACTGCAGTTTAGGCAGGGACGTGCTAAAAGTTAAAGACTTTGGATTGGTTCTTAAAACCCTGGATGAGACTTGTTTGTCATTCTGTGTCTGCTAATTAATTTCGTTGCAAATGTGGGAATTGTGAATTGGTACTGCAGGAGGGAGTACACAACAACTTGATGAGCCAGTATAAAAAAAAAGATTAAGAAAAAATGAACATTTTTGTGCCGAATACATCGCTGTCAACTAAGGGATGGTGGATTGCAGTAAAAAAATAATGCTTAACAATTCTGAGATTCCGTGGGGTTTTCTGGGATAGACCATTGCTGTGTGTCCGGTGAGTTGAGGGGGAGGGAGGAGGGAATTTGAAACTGCACAAAAGGAGTGCATATTCTGCTAGTTAGGAACAATTTTATTATTGTTAGTCAGTAATACTGCCATTTTTTAATAGATCTGCCAAGAAAGCTGAGGCAGAAGAAAACCAGCGCAGTTACAAACAGAAGAAGAAACGAAGGCGAATAAGGGTTCAAGAGGATTCATCAAGTGAGAATGACAATAAGGTACCATGTGGTGTTTTGAAGTAATAAATGGGAAGTAATAGATGTCTCTCTTGTCCACTGCTCAGGGACTTGGGTATCTCAAACAGCTTTGCACAAAGTACAGTAAAAAATTACAACTCTTCAGTGTTAATTCAGGCTAAAATTTGTAAAATGGCACCATAACTTTTCCTGTCTAGGTCTTGAGAAAAATCCATGATGTTTAAATAAATGGATTTTTTAATCTGAATGTAAGTGAGACAAATAGTAGATGAGGGGTTTAGTACTACTAGGGTTTCTTTTCCTGTGTGGAGCAGGTAAGAGCTGGTCCGATCTAGCACCACTATAATAGAAAAATAGTTCTTTATTAATTATTATTAGCTACTAGTAAATGATAACAGTGCCTTCAGTACTGCCTTGGCACAGCTGGGCTTATCTTTAGTATCTTAGAGTACATTACAGTTAAGGTGGCACTTCTTTTGTCATGCTGGCTAACTTTTAAAAAAGGTATCTTTTTTCTTATTAGCTAAACTTCACCTGTATTTTTTGGGGCTTGTCTAAGAATGAAGTTCTGATGGTCTGTGCTGTAATTTTCTTGCTAGTATACACTTTATTTAATTTCTAACAGAGTAATTCTGAGAATGAGGACAATGATGATTCAAAATCTCCTGGAAAAGGCAGGAAGAAAATAAGGAAAATTATTAAAGACGATAAGCTTAGAACAGAAACCCAGAATGCACTTAAAGAAGAAGAAGAAAGAAGAAAACGTATAGCAGAGAGAGAACGGGAGAGAGACAAATTGAGAGAGGTATGGTCTGTTTTCTTTGTGAAATGCTGGGAGGTGGAACTGATGATGTCTAAGACAGGTATTTCTACCTGAATTTAATCTGATAAGTCGTTTGAAAACTACTTACATACAGCCTTGTAAGCCACAAGTTTTATTTGCAGTTTCCTTTGGGTTAACATTGGCAAGTTTTATTTGACTACTGTGAGCTTTAGGAAGCTGTTTTCATTCCCTACTGGTTCACTTTTCATAGGGAAAAACACTCTGCAGGAGTGAGTTGTGGTGCATAGTAAAGAATTGAAGATTTCTCTTTACTAAATAAATAATGACTCCCAGTTTGTTAAATCTAGTGTCTCTCGAGTGCTTGGTATTAATCATGTGAGAACTATTCCTGTGATGCCCTGTTTCTGTTTATAGGTGATAGAGATAGAAGATGCTTCACCTCTGAAATGTCCCATTACAACTAAGCTGGTTTTAGATGAAGATGAAGAAACCAAAGAACCATTAGTGCAGGTTCACAGGAGTATAGTTACCAGACTGAAACCACACCAAGTAGATGGTAAGGAAAGAGAGATTAAAAAAAAATAATTTTTTTTTCTCTCCAAGGGCGCAGCACCTTATGCATCCTGGATTAAATCACAAGAAAAACTCCTTGACAGGCAGATACCAGAATGTTCCCTCTTTTCTCCCTGTCCCCAATCATCTGCAGTCCTTACAGTAATATTTTCTTACCCAATTGCTACATCTTCAGTGAAACTGTGAATATAATCAAGTTCAAGACAAAGATCACCCCACTTAACAACTCACTGGACAGAAGGGAATCAATAGTTATCCTAACAACTGCTTTTCTAAGCATTACCCTGACCTTTAAATGAGCACACCTGTTTCTTGTAGGTAAAATGAATGTTTAGTAAGAACTTTCATTAATTTTCTTCAGGTGTTCAGTTCATGTGGGATTGCTGTTGTGAATCTGTAAAAAAAACAAAGACATCTCCTGGTTCTGGATGCATTCTTGCTCACTGTATGGGCCTGGGGAAAACGTTACAGGTAAGGAAAAGTCATCTCGTTTTTTGGTCAGTGGCTTCCTCTCAAAAGCTGATGCAGCAAAAGCCCAGCATCTGTTCATTCCTAGACAGCTCAGTGTATCAATGCCCTGGAATTCCAAGCTCCATGGAGTTTGGCTCAGCATTTTCGTGCCTTACACGGATTCAGTCTGCAAGTGACTGCAGCCAGCTCTGCGACCTTGGCAGTCACTTGGCAAACAAAATGCTGTGAGATCCTGTGACAAGCAGTCAGTCTTTGGCACCTGAGTGTTTGGAATGAGGCATCTCTGTAGTTTTTACTCTCTCACTAGTAGTGCTCACTGTGCCTTCCTGGTTGGTGTTTGTCAAAGTCAGCACACCTGGATGCTGCTAAAGAGCAGACCTGGCTTGGCTTGATGCCTTTCACTGCTATTACTTTTAGAGCCTTGCAGTGTGCTCCAGGAGAAAGTCTTCAGAGTGAATCCAGCAGGAGGTGGCTGTTATTCCTTGCTGGCCTTGGCTGTGCTCAGGTGGCTTCCTGATCCTTGAGTTTGCCCTCTAAACCAGGAGCTTCAAACAGCGAAGTTACATGAGAAATAGCTAATCCTGCTCTCTGACCTAATTCAGACAGTGTTTTTTTAGGACTTTCTGGTCCCAAGAATATTTCTGCACCAGCAGATTGTAGGATATGGTCAAGGAATGCCTTGACTGGCAAAACATTTTCAGATTCTGTGGATCCCTTGGATTCTTCTGCAAAGAACAGGCTCAAGGGAAGCTTGGGTTTTGTGGTTTTCTGAATCTGGGTTTTCTGGTGAGCCTGGGGGGTTTGAGTGCCACAGAGCTGTAGATGATCAGAGGGACTGAGGTCATTTGCAGTTTAGGTAGCCTAAGCTGCAGTCTTGGTTGGTGGTGCACAGCATGTGGACAGCAGGTTTTTGAGAACTCCAGCTGCACTATGTACAGCTTTGGTTTGTTTAGGGAAGCTGGGGAGACAGACACAGTATTTTGACAGTCTACAATTCTATAGAACACTTTTGAAGATCACCTTTGAAGAGTATATTTTTACATACTTGTTTCTAACTTAGATGTTGTGGTTCTACAGGAGTAAATTGCACTTTTTACTGGAGATCTGTAATGCTTTGCAGGACTGTTGCCTCGGGGACTTTGTATACTTACATTTTATGCACTGTATGGTTTAATGAAATGTTTTGCAGCAGAAAGTATTTTTCTATGTGACCCATATGTGTTAATGACTAGTATTGTGGCTGTAACTTCTTGATAATCAAAGAAAGCCATAGTTACAAACGCATATCAACAAAAACCATTTTTAAGGCTGGTGCTTACAGCTTAGGTAGCTGGTTTTTTCCCTCTGTATTCATCTGCCAGTCATTCTGCTGTGCTCTGTGATGGCATTCATTGTTTAGCTCTTTAAAAGAGCTGAATCAGCCATCAGTTCCAGCAGACTTTGCAAACTGCAGAGCAGGATGTTGGGAGTGATCAGCAAAATCAGGCAACTGGGGCCTTGCTGGCCAGGACACAGGACTTGGGTGCTGAGTCTTCGTGGGTACTTGTTGCATCTGAGCACGAGATGCTTTAGTCTTACCACAAAACAACCAGAGACTCCTTTTGTCTTGCAGCAGCTAAAAGCAATTTGTTGCCCTGTGTTCCAGGCATAGCCATGCAGTTAGAAATTCCTTTGAACAGTGTATTAAATCAGAGTTGCCAGATACCAAGATTTTGTCCAGAAAGAACTGTGAGAAGTGTAGATTAGAGTGCAGTCACCATTAAAAGTCGGGTGGGAGAGCTGGAGATCACTGACTCTTCTGCTTCTGAGTGCTCTAGTCCTGCCTTCATTTACTGCTGCACAAAACAGGCCCAGCACTGAGTGACCCAGAAGATTTCAGGTATTTCTCAGGCCTCAGGGAGGTGTTGTCATCTGCAACATAGAGCCAGGCTGGCTACAGGGTGAATCCTTGGAAAACAGTTCCATAACCTGCTTCAGAGATCCTCTGAGAGAATTTGCCAATACGTTGAAAAAATGTGAAAAACTGTTTTAAGGCTGAAATTTACTTTCAAGAAACATGAATGTGAATTTATTTGATGTTAGGATGTGACCTAATAGAAATTTCGAATTTATGAAGATGATTGGTGAAATGTAAAGGGAGGGTTCCCTACTTATGAAATCCTTCAGCAATTCAAAACTGCCTGTAGCTCAGTATGTGAAGGATGTGTGCAGCCATGTAACACAGAGTAAGAAGTGTATGAACTCAAAATACACCTGTATTAAATTTTAAGCAGCGAGTTGAAAACAGAAAAAGCATGTTTAAACAAGTCTGTTGTTGGTAATTAATTACATAATTGAATAGATACTTGTATTTTTCTGTCCCGGTGTTGAATCCCCAGTGGTTTATTTAGTGTTCTGTTTTTAACTCTTGCAGGTAGTAAGTTTTCTCCACACAGTCTTGCTGTGTGACAAGCTGGATTTTCGGACAGCTCTGGTTGTGTGTCCACTGAACACTGCCTTGAACTGGCTGAACGAGTTTGAAAAATGGCAAGAAGGTTTAGAAGATGAGGAAAGACTAGAGGTACAAGACTTAAAAACACTTTCTTAAAAATGAAATAATTGAATGGTTTACACATAGTCGGGCAGCTCAAAACATAGGCTAAGGAATGTGAAAATCTACTTGCATTGATAAGTCTTAAATAGTAGAAGTTACACCAGCATTGCAGTATTGTGAGAGGAATTCCAGCCTGTTTTTCCCCTTTGGAAGGTCTGTGAGCTGGCAACCGTGAAGCGCCCTCAGGAGAGGAGCTACATGCTGCAGCACTGGCAGGACGAGGGGGGTGTGATGATCATAGGCTACGAGATGTACCGAAATCTGGCACAAGGCAGGAATGTGAAGAGCAGGAAACTTAAAGAAATATTCAATAAAGCATTAGTTGATCCAGGTAAGTGAAAATTAACACATTCTGTATGTATTGCACGGGAGCAAAGTAAATAAATAATAACATCAGTAAGATTGATCAGATTTTCTTTGTTGCCTTTTCTGAGTTACGGAAGTTCTTGTCCAGAAACTTCCCCATCTGCTTTTATAAATAACAGAAATCTTTGTAACAGTCTTTTCTGTTAGATCAAATGCAAGAATGACCCCAGGAATATATCCTGGAAACTTTTCCCGTTAAGTTTTTTTTTCTACCATTTCTTTCTTGGCAAGGTGATTTAAAGTAACCTTATGTCCGGAACCTAAGGGTATTTTCACCTGCTAATTTGTTACAACCACGAGCTGCTTTGTCCTTGATAGAAATCTCTCACTAAGGGGGCAACTACACAGGAAAATAGTTGAATTTGTGCCTTAGAAGAGTGAAAAAAACAAATGTTAATTAAGTGCTAATTAAGTGAATTCAAATAAAGCACTTAGTTATTTTTTTAGTCTTGAGAAGCAGATGTCTGGTTTGAGCTGAGCTGAACTGAGCAAACTTACATCAACATGTATGGAAGCACTTGAAAGTATTCCAAGTTAATATTAACTGATCTGTCAGGTGGTCACAAAAAAGAACTAAAAATTTTAGGACTAGCAAGTTTCACCAAAATAGCAAAATTTCCCTTCAGATTCTGAACTGGCACCTGATACTGACTTAGTTATGCAGCATGCAGTGTATCTTAAAAACTGTTTCTAAAAGGCACCTTTGCTGTAACTTCGGGATTTCTCTGCCTTTCTCTTTAAATTGAGAATGCAGATAGGTAGGTGGGGTAAATGGAGGTGGGTTTTCTTGGATTTTAATTATCTGACTGGACTTTATGTTGACACTGTGTGATTGATTTTCTTTTTTTCCCTTTCTCTTTCTTGTTGATAACTGTACTTGGTGAGCTTGATTTTGTGAAGTTCCAATTAATAGTAGGGCTGTGAATTATGTTCTGACTGACAAAGAGTTTATTCTAATGGGGAAAATAACTTTGTGATTATTGGCATTGGCCAAGTGGAATTGGCATCTCCAGTGCTGCAGAAAGCCTATTTGAACAGCTAAAACGTTAATTAATTTTCTGCCAGCTTGACTCACAAAATCACATAATTGCTGTGGAGTCAGGGAAGCTCTACTACAGCAGCTGGTGAACTATTTTTGTGGTCATGATGATTCCACACACATTATTTAAGCAGTGAAGGAAATGCCCTTCTTGCCAGTGGGTCTTTTGACTCCTAAAGTTGTAGTTACTAAATACAAACAAACCAAAAACCCAGCAGGAAACCAAAACAGAAAAAAAAGTGTAGGGGAACCCCATGCTGTCAGTGCTATTCTCTGTCTGATTTGCTCAGTATATTGCATTTCTTGAGAACATTGTCAGGAAAGTCAAAGCCAGAGAAGAAAAGTGTGAATTGCTGTCTCAAAGTAGTGGTGACAGGAAAATAACTTGGTACTCAGGGGGTCGTGTTCTGGTGCAGCGAGGAAATAAAATGTGATTGATTTTCGTGGATTTTTTTCCTCATGGCAAGTGTGAACATGGAACCTCCTGTTTTATTCTCTTCTTGGACTCGTGGGTTGGTGGGATGGAATCGGACCATAAGGGAAATCAACCTTGAAATAACTCTGTAATTATTTTCATAGAACCATAGAATCTTTAAGGTTGGAAAAGACCTCCAAGGTAAAGTCCAGCCTTCAACCAGATGCCCTCTAAACCATATTGGGAAGTCTGCTTTTTTTTTTTGAACAGTCCAGGGATGGGGACTCCACCAGCTCCCTGGGCAGCCCCTTCCAATGCCTGACCACCTTTTCTGTGAAGAAATTTCTCATAATATTCAACCTGAACTTCCCCTGGCGCAGCTCGAGGGTATTTCTTGTTACTTCGTGTTGTTTCAGATCTTCCTCTATTTTAACTAATTGCAAAAAGCCAGAAGTGTCCATCTGTTGTTATCCATTAGTTTGTGGAGCCATTTGGATTGGCTAAATTGATGAGAATGTTCACTGCAAGATCCTTATTTATTTCTTAGCACGGACAGTCCAGCAGGCTGGCAGGACAAGGGTTAGAAGTGATGTGCTGGCTGACTGCTGTGACTGGAAAGAGGAAAACCTTTACCCCTGGGAGCATTTTCCATTTAAAAAGCTGCAAATTGGTATTTGAGTGCTGATTTAATGATATGTGTCTGTGCAAGTGAACACTGCTGGGGTATGACATACTGTATAGTAGAAGCTTGTGTTGCAGTGTAGAGGTTTAGCCAAAGTTTATGGGTGGAGAACTGATTTCATTAATTAACTAGCTCTGCTATGTTAAATAATGGCAGGATTATAAACACATGCAGAGCAACAAATGGTTTTCCATGATGCTTTGTGCCACTGTGGAGGTGCTGTTGGTTTGTGGATCACTGCTGTGCTTTGCTCGCAGCACTGCAGAAACCTCCTATTTTTTTCTAAGTGTTGCTACTAATAAAAATTCCTTTACTGTTTGACTTGGAAACTGCTCTTCAGTTGGCAGCTGTATGAAGTTCTTGTAGACTTCAGAGGAACAGGAGAACTGTGTGTATGTATCTCTGTATATCCATCTTTTATGTGCTTCAATATGTTAACACCTGCAAATACAACAAGGATAAGAAGATGAAGATAGATTTTTGAGGAAAGGTTGCAAGAGTAAGGCTTTTCAGCCTAGAAAAAAGACAACTAAATGACAAATTTTCCGTCATGTAAGAGCTGGTTAACGAAAGGAGTTTTACCAGTTGGTTTTGACATCAGTTGGAGAAAGGAAAGGGCAGAATTTATTTGGATTTGCAACAGAGATGATTTAAATTGGGTGTTATTGCACAGTGTTTTAGCAAGAGAGAGGTCATGGTGTTTGCCACTTCTGTCAGGGAGAATTTGTCTGTCCCTTTCTCATAACTCTTATCTCAGATGGAGAAAATAGACTAACTAATCCCTTGAGGTCCCTCTAAGTTTTACATTCCTTTATAATATTTTGAGGAATGTTCTGTCTGTAGTGACTTGTATTTGTGTTTTTTTAAGAACAAGGGAAAAAACCCACAAATTTATGAAAATCCTTGCTGCTGACTTGGAGCCAAGATGTTAGTTCAAAGTATCAGTGCCTGCCAAACAAAGCACAAATAATTGTACTAAGATAGGGGGGTTTTTTTGTATTTTTGCTGTCATTCACTTATCTGAAGATGTTAATGGATCACAGTCTTTAATGAAACGAGGACAGGTGAGAGGATCTGTCAGTATTAGAGATGGTTGGCTGAAATGGAAGGAGGACTTTGTATGTAGCCACTCAGTGCTTTTCATGCTGTCAGAACTGGGAAGGTACAAAAGCTGTGAAATAATATTGGGAAATGTTTCTGTGGCAGGTGTGAAAATTCAGAAATAAGTAGGCTTGGACAAGCCTAAGTGTGTTTGGAATTCACATGTGGATTTTCAGAATTGTCTTCTAGACTTGGCTCAAGAATCTTTTATTTTTTTCTCCTTGGAAATAAATATTTTCTTGATTCCTTTTCTGTTAATGTGTAAGGTTCAAACCACTTTCTGACCCTTAAAATGGTACAATTGAGGTGACTGGCACTGGCATGAGATCATGTGAGGGGTCAGAGGTGTAATTCTCTGTTGTTGATCACTGCCCTAGAATTAATTTTCTTCTTTACAAGGCAGTTTAAATTTCCTCTGAAGAAAACTGTTCTTAGTAAGTTATAGAAGATTGGATTGTCCTTGCTGATAAACACCCCTTTGCCACCTCAAATATCAGCCTTTTTAGAGCTAAATACTGAACCCAGCTTATGGCTTTTCTCCAAGGTGCATCAGCTTGCCTTCCCTGTCTGCGGGGTTGGTACTGTTGGAATTGAGGTCGGGTTTAGAGCTCGTAAAACATTCCCTCTAAGTTATTAGAGGCATCCTCAAATATCTTTTACTACTCCTTTCAAGAAGGGAACTTCCAGAAATTACCCCAAATCTGAAAACAATTAGGGTGTGTAAGTCTGTTGTGCCAAATTAAATGTTATTTATCTTAAACCCCAAACTATAACATTTAATTTTAATAGAGTGGCTTTACATATTGTGGAAATGTGTTGTGGTGTGGTTTTGACATTCTTGGGTTTATCTTCTGGAGGAAAGCTGAGGACCTTTCTGAGGTGACTTTCAGCTACAAGGTGACAATTCACTTGTCTGCAATTTCAAATCAGATTTGGTTGTGTTTTATCTTATCAAGGCTTCTGATTGCACTGTGTATCCCTACTGATACTGACTTGTTGCCTTAATGAAAAATTGCAGGTGACCTGAATTTTGGTGGGTTTTGGGGTTGCCTGAGTGTCAGTAGATGGCAGCCTAAAGCTGGAGGGAAGGAATAGTTTTCCAGAGTTTTGACAGGGTTGATGGAGGTGTAGCCATGCACTCACAGCTGCAGGGATGGACCATTTTAGTAGGAATATATTACAAAGCTGTAATTAATCCTTCCCATGAAGACTTCACAAGCAACAGCCTGTTGTTTACCAGAATGGCTACTGTGAATGCTTGTGCACAGGCTGAGTGAGAACCCAAATGGTGCAAAAAACCCCACCATAAAACACACAAGTTTTAAAAAAAAAGTTAATAACATCAGTAGAACAAATTTTGGGTTCTTTAGTCTGTCGGTTTCTTTGTGGTTATAAAGTGTGGGAGAGATCTAATGTTGTTTCTTTTCTAGGTCCTGACTTTGTGGTTTGTGATGAAGGACACATTCTGAAGAACGAGGCATCTGCTGTCTCCAAGGCAATGAATTCTATTCGGTCTAGGAGAAGAATAATTCTTACAGGAACACCACTGCAAAATAATCTTATAGAATGTGAGTAGCTGTCTGGTTTAAGAAGCGTTTATTTCCTTGATTATACTTCAGTCTGTCAGCAAGATAAAGATAGATTTAGTTTGATTAAGAGGAAAGAATTTGATACAATGAAGCTGCCTGTGAGTTCTCGGTATCTATATTTGGAAATGACACATTTATTTTCTGTTTGAATTAATCCCAGTACTGTGCTTTCCATTTTGAACAATTCAAGTGTGATCTTTTTGTCCTAGATCACTGCATGGTTAACTTTATTAAGGAGAATTTACTTGGTTCAATTAAGGAGTTCCGGAATCGGTTCATAAACCCGATCCAGAACGGGCAGTGCGCAGACTCCACTCTGGCAGACGTCAGAGTGATGAAGAAACGTGCACACATCCTCTATGAGATGTTGGCTGGATGTGTTCAGGTAAGAACAGTTTGGCTCTAGCTACACATTTCATTTAACTGCAGGGAAGGAGAGGGGTGATTTCATCTCGTCCTGATAAAAGCACCCAAAGGCCTGTAAACTTGTTATCTGAGAGCTCCATTAACTCTTTTGACTTTATTATATTTTCACTGAGTCTTAGATCTCTGCACTGTTTATTGTGAGTAGAAAAAATTACACTGACACTTGGATAAAAACTAAGAAATTTGTGTATCCTAAGCAGGACATATACATGTGTTGAAGAATACAGCTGTTTCCTGCTAGGGGTCTACAAAATTTTATGATAGAGTGGGGCATTAGTTGCTTTGAAATATTCTTATTTAATTTGATATGCATGTTTAAAGAATACATATTTAAAAACTCAGCTGCCTTAAAATCTGCACAGAAAGTTGGTGATCCATAGTTTGTCACTTGGTTATGAATTCCTCTTTTTTCTGGTCTAAGAGAATCAGTACAATGGGGAAGAGGAGAGAAAGAAAATTATTCAGGTCCAAAAGAGTGAAGAATTTGTTATCTTAAGGACCTTAGATTAAAAAAAAAATAAGCAAAACTGCCAAGACTTCCAGAATAAAGGCTGGATTCTTCACCCTTCAGTTAAAACCTGCACCTTGTGGGCTATCAGCAGGGTGTTCCTGCTCTTCTGCTTTCCAACACCAGGCCCCAGCAGCCCAGTCGAAGGTGTGACACCCTGTAGGCACAAAGTGCTTCCTCCTGGCTGGGCAGTTGTTGGTAGTGGATTTAATAATCCGAGCTGGGTGAGATGATCGTGGTGGAACAGTGCCTCAAGCAGAGAAATAAGGAGCTTTATGGCAGTGTAAAAGACTTCCTATCATAAAATCTTGGAAATAGGAGTAGTACCGAGAGCATAATGTGCATAATTCTATACAGCAGTAGAGGAACACAAACTGAAAGACAGAATGGGAAGAGCAGCATAAATATCAAGTAAATTTTATGTGTGTTCGGGTGCTGGGCACCCTGTGTTTGTGCAGCACTGGGTGGAGCCCACAGGAGCAGATCCTGTCCATGGAGAGCAGCTTTCCCTTTTGCTCATTGAGCTACTGTATCACTGCTTTACAAGAAAACAACTCTGTTGCCAAAGGATGTTCTCAGGAGCCATGAGGTGTCTCCATCAGCTGGACCAAGCGGGAGCTGCCCGCAGGCTCCTGATGCTGAGGGTGTCCTGCAGGATAACCAGGGGTTTGTGCAGCACAGCACAGGCAGATCAGCTCTGATCAAGGGCACTTCACTCCTGAATGTACAACAGTCTCTGGTCAAGATCAATCACCGTTTGGTTGAAGTGGGGGTAGAGAGACGTGGACTCTGTAACAGTTAAAAAATTAAAATAGAAGTAAAATCTGCATCGCCCCAAGCAAGTATTCAGAAAACGTGTTATCCTGAGTGGGAGTTCCTCCATGATACAAACATTGATATTAGCTGCTTGATTTACCCATGCTTTCACAGAAAAAGGTTTTAGTATTCTCACTTAAATATTTAGTATTTCACCCTTGCCTGACATGCTTTCACAGAAAAGGTTTTAGTATTATAAAAAACCCCACAAAAGTAGTTCCCAGAGCAGCTACTGGAGTTTCAGTCAACTCTGCAAGGACTTGGAACTGGACATGGGGTTAACAAGTCACAGACTTTTGCCTATGTAACCACACCGACTAGGTAAGATGGGTTCCTGCTGACAGGGCCTGTAATTGGGTTGTATTTCATGGGTTATTTTTCCCCCCTTTGTGGTTGGAAAGCATCTGAATCGTTGTAATTTATCCATTTGGCATTGAAGATGCCAAAAGTTCTTAAGCTCTCGGGAGTCATTTTCGTGTTTATGTGACTAAAGCACTGTTTGTAAAATTGCAGAGGAAAGATTACACAGCATTAACAAAATTCCTCCCTCCGAAATATGAGTATGTTCTGGAGGTTCGGATGACTCCTATTCAGTGCAAACTGTACCAGTACTACTTGGATCATCTGACAGGTATGTGCCTACAGTTCTCTCTGGTCACAAGACTGGTGGTCATTTAATAAGGTGCATTTTGCTGTAGTTGGTAGGTTGGGGTTTTTAGATGTGTTGTTGGCTCTGTGGATGTATTTGTCTGCTTCCCGTAAGATTTACTTTAGCTCTTGACACTTGAATTGTAGCAAAACATCTGGGCTTTTTGAGAAAGAATAATAATATTTGTATCTCTTAACAGCAGTCCACCTTCAGGTTTTGGTCCATAGATATTTCTTTCTTTTCTAAGTATAAAATATAATTGATTTTATGTCTTCCAAGAGTAAGAAGAAGGTATTGACTGTAAGACTGGAGGGAGAGAATACTGAATTGAGCTGTCCTGGTGTAAGCACAGCCAAGCCCTGCAGTTCCTGTCTGCCTTTATGCCAGCTGAAGCTGTTATTTGTCAAATATTGGCTCTTCTGTGGAACTGTCTCTTCTTTTCCTCTAAAAACCCATAAGTCTAGGTTTCACAATGACTGTGCTCTTCATCAGCTTTCAGTGAGATCTTGACTGGTCTGTCTTGGAAATTTGCATCTTCCCCCCAGAAAATGTAAATTTGTTTAATTGAAAAGGTGTATAAGGGGAAAAACCACAACCCTAAAATGTGTTACTGTGGGCTGGTGTGCTGTTCACTGCATTAGAGATGAGCCACTGTAGCTTGTAATTTTAGTATATCGAGGTATTGGGGTATCAACGTCTCAGTGACACATGTCCCACACACACTGTGGGAAGGGTCATCTCCAGGAATGCCTGGGGAGGTTTTCTGTACCTCTGTGCTTCACACAACCACGTCCCTCAGCTGCAGCTCTTGGCTTCTGAAGCAATTCACTTAATGAATTTCATAGTCAAGAATGTTTAAGGCACTGCTAGTCGGATTTTTTGTAAAGCATGAAGCAGGTATTCCCTTTCTGCAACAGTTACAAAATGTCCTACATAGTCTGCTGGGCCAGTTTATTATATTTTTTTTGCACTTGTTAAACTACCTGTCTTAAAATGCTTGTTGCTGAGGATTTTTTAAACCATATTTTTCTGTTCTGGTTATTCTCCCAAGTTTAATTACTAGAAAAATGAATTGTATCTCAAATTGGTCTGTGATTCATAGCAGTATGGAATTCACTGTGTTATCTCAACGCCTTTAGATTCTGGGGAATGCAGTATCTGATCTCCCAGGTGAACTGCCAGCTTCATAGAATCATAGAATCAGCTGGGTTGGAAGGGACCTCTGAGATCATCGTGTCCAACCCTTGATCCAACCCCGCCGTGGTTCCCAGCCCATGGCACTGATGCCACATCCAGTCTGTCCTTAAACACCTCCAGGGATGGAGAATCCACCCCTTCCCTGGGCAGCCCATTCCAATGGCTGAGCACCCTCTCTGCAAAGAAATTCTTCCTGATCTCCAACCTAACCCTCCCCTGGCACAGCTTCAGACCCAGCCCTCTTGTCTTGCTGATGGTTGCCTGGGAAAAGAGCCCAACCCCCCCCGGCTCCCCCCTCCTGTCAGGGAGTTGCAGAGAGTGAGGAGGTCTCCCCTGAGCCTCCTCTTCTCCAGGCTGAGCCCCCCCAGCTCCCTCAGCCTCTCCTCACAGCACTTGTGCTCCAGTCCCTTCCCCAGCCTCGTTGCTCTCCTCTGGCCCTGCTCCAGCCCCTCCATGTCCTTCCTGAGCTGAGGGCCCAGAGCTGGACACAGCACTCCAGGGGTGGCCTCACCAGTGCCCAGTGCAGGGCAAGAATCCTTCCCTGCTCCTGCTGCCACACTCTTCCTGAGCCAGGCCAGGATCCATTGGCCCTCTTGGCCACTGGGCACACTCTGGCTCACATTCAGCTTCCTGTCAATGAGCAGTTCTGTTTTCTGTTGCCTCTATTTAGTTAAGTTATAAAGAGTTTTAAAAGTCTGTAGAACTTGTTAAATTGGAACTCGCTAATGTCAACTTCCTCAGTGAAACTCATGATGAGGGAAGTCAAGTCTAAGGATTTCTGTGATCCTTACAATTCCATTTCCCAAAGCACAATTAGGAGGATACTCCAAGTTGTGGGACTAAACACAATGAGAACCTGCTTTCTTAAAATACTTTGTAGATGTTTAGAGGGATTATCTTATGCATTGAGCAAATGCACCAAATAAGTTTTGTGCTTGTTTTTTTGTAGACGTTTGATAACTGCGATGCAATAAACACTATTTTCTTGCAGGTCTACGTACCTTAAATTATGCACATAACAAATATGAAAAACAGTCTCTTTCAGGAACCTAACGTGGTGCTTAATGAGAAATCGAGACTAGAAAAAAGAAATTTAACTCTATGAACATTGTTACTACTTTGCACTAGTTTGTGCTTCCACAGTGAACAAATAGGCTGGGCTCTTTTAGGGTTTCTCTTGTAGCAGAATACTGCAGCATTACAAGGCATTAAATAAAGGTAGATAAAAATAGTAACCCAAATTCATTGAAACCTAAATGCCAATGTTATTTTGTGTTTTCCACCGTGGACTGCTTTTACAGAACCCAAATAGACTTGGATGTCTTTTTAAGAGGATTTGGAGTCATTCCTGTACTGGGGAGAAATGTGCTTTTATGTAAAAATGTAATCATGTTTCTCATTATTTAGAGAAAGGGGAAAATCTAATTTTGACAACTTTAACTAGGAAAAAAAATGCCTGTGACTGAGTAATTTGAGCTCTTTTACAAGAGATGTTACAAGATGATGTGCATCTGGAAAGAACACTCAGTGCTGCACTGGCGGGTTGTTCAAAGGGGGAACAGAATGTGGCAAACTCACTTCAAGGTTCCACTCTAAAACCTGAACTTTATTGTCAGGTGTAGGTGGTGGCAATGAAGGTGGAAGAGGCAAAGCTGGAGCTAAACTTTTCCAGGATTTCCAGATGTTGAGCAGAATCTGGACTCACCCTTGGTGCTTGCAGCTGGACTATATTAGCAAAGAAAATAAGGTAAATTAGATATATCAAAATACTCTCTATTGGCAACTTTCCAAATAAGCTTTGCCAAACTATAGGTAAGGTTTTGTCAAATTAATGGAAATCTTTGTTGCTGTGGGGTATCTTTGCTGCTGGTTTTGTCATATTTTTCTTTCAGGGTATGTTGTCATTGTTAAAATATTTCTTAAGGCCAACCCTTGTAGAACTTACCATTGTTTAAATGAAGGCTAAGCAGATGGCTAAAGGTTTAATAAAAGCTTCTGGATGAATATATGTAATAAAATCTGTTTTTTTCTCTTTTGAGGGCTATTTTGATGAAGACAGCATGGATGACTTCATAGCTTCAGATTCGGAAGAAACTTCAATGAGCTTAAGTTCTGATGATTATGCAAAGTAATTGAGCTTTTATTTTGTTTGATGGATTTATTTTCCTAATAGAGCTGAAGTGACTCCTATAAAAGTGAATGTTTATTTTTTATTTTATGTATCTGTTAGAATATGTTCTCTAGCAGTGGGATTTAAAAAAAAAATGGGGTGTGTAATGTTGCCTTTTTAGGAAAAAAAAATCCAAGGGGAAAAAGGTGAAGAAAGAGTGTAGCTCAAGTGGAAGTGGCAGTGATAATGATGTTGAAGTCATTAAAGTCTGGAATTCAAGATCTCGTGGAGGTGGAGAAGGAAATGCAGAAGATCTTTCAAACAACCCGTCATCAACAAAGTCAGATGAAGGTGAGTGTAATCCAGAATGAATAAAATGTGAGGCAGCTTCATTTTGAAAAAGGCAGTTGAAGAGGACTGTCAGGAATTCTGCTGTGTTGCAGAATGGCAAATTCCTTAATTCCATACTTACAGCTCCTGCTCCTCCTAATGGTACACTCATCCTGGAAAAACAAGGGGCATCAATTTAGAACTTAGGGGTCTTGAGGCAGGGAAGCTGCACAATGACTTTTTTTTTTAATTTAGAAATACAAAATGATATAAAGTTAACTGAGGAGCTATGCTACTTTTCATCTTCTTTTAACATATTGCTAAAAGATTAATGGAAAGATTAAGAACTATACATGTCATGATTTGTTGCACGTGGAATTTGAATTGGTTGTTGAGTGAGCAGATATGATGCAACAGGAATACAAGCCCTTTTTAAAGATTATTATTCAGACTTCTTAAAGCTTCACGTTTCATTTTTTGATTTTTCTTTAATAATCTAGATTTTGTCTTGTATCTGGAATTATAGAGGTAATTTTCCAATTCTGTCATTTCATGTGTGTCTAGTGATTTTCCCTAAGTAATTGAATTTTTTGGGGACAGTTAAGGTGAGAACTCTGGGGTTTTTTGGTCTCCAGACTAATGACAAACATATTGTAAATGTGTAAGGGAGGAGTGTGTGTATGTAAGACACACAGAGATTAAACGTGTTAATTACATTATAGGCAGGGTGAGTTTCTGTCTCTGGATCACTTAAAAGTTTACCTCTCGTGCAGCCTTGTAATTGCTAATAGTGCAAATGCTGGGGATTTTTTGTCTCTTTAACTCTTTTCATACCATTTACATCTAATAATGAGGAAACAGGTCTGTTTGGACATTTCAAAGCATTTAAATGGAGACCGTGTTCTTATCTTTAATTTTGTTTTGGTGTTTTTTTTTTTTGTTTAGGCAAAGCTACATCCTCTTCCAATCCTGGCAGCCCAGCACCAGATTGGTACAAAGATTTTGTCACTGATGCAGATGCTGAAGTGTTGGAACATTCTGGGAAAATGGTGCTTCTCTTTGAAATTCTTCGAATGGCAGAGGAGCTTGGAGACAAAGTGTAAGTCAGTTCTAGACATATTGCTAATGACTTTATAAATATGTAGTCTGACAGTGTTCTGAATTCACTCTTGGTTATGCTGTGGCTGTTTTCTGAAGCAGATGTGCAAAGGCTCCATGCCTTTTTATGAGGGATTTTTCCCACACGTGCCCAAGATTCCACCAAAGTCTTCACCTGTGTCTAGAAGGGCTGTTTGTCTCAAAGGGAGGAGGGAAGAAAAACCAAACAGTAAAATAAATAAAATAACTTCAGAGATGAATTTTGTGTTTTCCTGTTTCTGTTTCCAGCCTAGTGTTCAGCCAGTCCCTGATATCTCTGGATTTGATAGAAGATTTCCTGGAGCTGGCTAACAGGGAGAAAACCGACAGAGATAAGCCTCCTATCTATAAAGGTGAGTGTCTCCTTCAGCAACCTCATAACTCTTTTACAAGTCTCTATTCAGTCCACTGGGAGTGGATTTGAAATAAGTGTTGCATGCTCTGGACTGTTCCTGAAGTTGGCAGGATTATTGGTCTCCCCTGCAGGTGGTCTCTGCTATCCCATTATGGACTCTTGCTTCTGATTTCATTCTGTATCATCCATGCTTGTTACAGCCTAAGCAGCTTAAATGTTTGTCATCTGAGAGGAGAGAAGGCATTTTGTTAAATCCTTTATAAAAGTGATGTTACATTCTGATCTGTGGCAAATTCTGATCCTTCCTTCTGGGGGAGAGCTGATGAAAGAATTAGGGTACTTTAAACCAGTGTGTAAAACGTGCAAAATATGAATTTATATGTAGGGCAGTAGATTGGCTTATGGATTTCATAAGGGAGCAAATATAGAGTTAATTATTATCCTAGTGATGCTCAAATGCCAAGGAATGTCTCACTCGTCCTCCACTTAGGATGTTTGTCCTGTTTACTCCGAGATGCTCCCAGAACTCCTGAGGATGCAGTTGATCCTTATGTGGAGTTTCAATTCCCAGTACATGTGCAGTGCAGAATTCCTTCAAGTCTGCCATCCCTTTCAAACATCCTGTGCAAGTGTTTGGTGTGTTTGCACTTAGAAATAAGAGGAAGGTGGCTCAGTGACAGACACAGTCAGCTGGAGACTCCACATCTCCCTCTCACGGATTTATTGTTTCTGGCTGTTGCTTCCTTTTCTGAGCTTTTGCCATCTTCAGACGTTACAAGCTGTCTGGTTTTGGGGGAGTTTGTGCCTTTAGTCGGAGAAAATGTTTTAAGGAGTGGGGGTTTTTCATGTGTGGTAGTTCTTCTGGTAAGCAATTAGATTATGTATCATGGCAAGATTCACTTCCTGACACAACAATCTGTTTCTCATAATTGATTGAATCGAGCAATGCTGTCTTCAGAAATGCTCTTCATGATTGATGGCTCAGTGCTATTAGTTTTGTGTACATACACCTTGATGGCCAAAGAAAATGAAAGGTTACTTGTGAACTGGGGAGAGAAGAAAATCTATCAGCTGTAGCTTTTTCCCCCAGTCTGGCAAGGAGTTGCTGTAACTCACAAGGTAATTAAACTCAAAGATTTTTCCGAGTTCCAGTCCCAAAATTATTAGAGCTTGACTTTTGAAATCTCCTCTGGAGCATTTCCTTACAAATGATGCTGGTTGTGTGGGAGAGACTGACTTACCCTCATGCTGTAACATGAAGCTACACAGATCAGTCAGAAAGTACAATTAGTGCTGTAATGCCTAAAGATTAGATTTAACTGCAGCTACACGTAACTACTTTTTAAAATTAACTTTGACTCCAAGTTAAGCTAAGGCATATCCCTCCAAATGTATATATATAAATACAATAGTGAAAAATAAGAGGAATGACCCCCCAAAAAGCTCAGGTATTTTTCAAATACTTCAATTTAAATTTAAGCTCAGAACATTTTTTAAAAATTTCTATCTTTACATTCCAATCTGTATAAAACTGCTTTGAGGAGTTTCATTGAATATGAATCCATCTTTCTGTAAAAAACCAACAAAATCCTAAGAAGAAATGGGTAGGGATAGATACTGGGTACTTTTTACGAGGTAAAATGATATTGGCATTCATTTTATTCTGGTTTTGAATAATTTTAGACAAAACCTGTGTAGGGTTTGTACAAGCTGTTGCAGGCTCGTGGATGATGGTTGTCATCACAAATGCAATGACTATTATCTCCTGTCACGATACATATTTTATATTTTGTTATGCAAGCTCTACTACAGAAGGCCCGTGACAAGCACCTGTATCCTGCAAAAACATTCTCAGTCTTGAATTCCACTAATAGTCTTTTCCCATTGCCATACTAGTATATTTTATGTTCCATGTTTGTTCCTTACTACTTGGGGAGTTGTGTGTATCCAGTGTTACCAGTTTGGGTACTTACACCCTCAGCATTTTAATAATTTGACTGTTACATTTACAGGTGAGGGAAAATGGTTCAGAAACATCGATTACTATCGCTTGGATGGCTCAACTACAGCTCAGTCAAGAAAGAAATGGGCTGAAGAATTTAATGATGAAACTAATGTGAGGTGAGACCTTTTCTGATATAGGTGCTTTATTTTCCCCCTTCTCTTCCTTTTGTTACCTATTTCTTTGGTACTTGTATTAGCTTAATTACCTTAAGGGTAGGCAAATAATTATCACAGTGTTGTCAGAACTTGCACAAAATATGTGCAGCAATATGTTCCTGACTTCTTTAGATTAATTCTATTAGTAGTGCTCAATACTTGTTCAGTGTTTCCTTGCTGGTTTCGTAGTTCTTTAGATTGTAACCAATTTAAACCAGAGAAGATATTTTTATTACAATGATTTAAAAGGATATAAGGACCTAGGCAAGTCAGAGCCCGGTGGGGTCTGGCCAGGAGGCAGCAGTCCCTGGGCCACTCAGAAACATGTGACTCTGTCAGCTGTCTCCAGAATTGTCTCCCAGCCATCCACTGCTCATCCAAGATGAGACTTGGAATTCACATTTGGATAGAGAGGTATAAACTTGCACAAGTTAAGTGAAGGTAAGGAGCTTCACCTTCCCAGCTTTGTTTAAAAAATAAAGTCTGTGGTTATATTGCAGTCATTTATAATGTGCAGGGGAAAAAAGTTAAATTAAGAAGTAACCTAATTCAGTGTTACTGCTTTTAAAGAGTTTATTCTGTCAGCACCTGTCAAGAACTGATTTCAAGTTGAAGCTGAGAGAGGTGGCCTTCAAAAAAAAGCAGATATATCAGAAAAACAGTGTCATTCTAGAGTTATCCTGAAAGTTTGCAGGCCAGGAAGCAGTTTCAATAGCATGGCATCTGCCTGTTTAAATTTGTGGTTTATTTTGATATAACTAGTTTTATTAGAGTTTGAAAATGCAAAAGTTCTTTCTTCCCCTCCAGTTTTTGTTAACAGTTGGTTTGCAAAAGGCCTTGATCTGTATTTTTGGGAATATATGTTTTGCTAAAAGTGTTGTTGTTGTAAAATCTGCATCTGTTTTATGCTTAATATATTATTTTAATGAAGTTTTTGAGTTATTTCAGTGCATGAACAACTCCATAGTAACACAGCAACAATAGCTGTTTTCCAAAATACTCAAATTTTGCAACTCTTCTCTGTTCCAGAGGCCGCTTGTTTATTATATCCACTAAAGCAGGTTCCCTTGGAATAAACCTGGTGGCTGCCAACAGAGTCATCATCTTTGATGCCTCTTGGAACCCATCCTACGACATCCAGAGTATTTTCAGGGTCTATCGTTTCGGACAGAACAAACCTGTGTTCGTGTACAGGTTTTTGGCTCAGGTGGGTTTCTGGCTGATATCTTTGTGATATTTCATCCTGCAAAAAAATGTGAACTGTCTGTATGTGCACTTGTGTTGGAGTCTGGAGTGATCTGCACAGAGCAGTAGTTTTGCAGCCCTCATCTGTAGCAGTATTTGGCCACTGAAGCAGCTCTTGAAGGAAGGAATGGTAAAATAAATAACAACTGAAATTATTTCCTCTTCTGCCCACCTCATATGACACTTTGTGTAATGCAGGTTCTGGAATTCTAGAAGTGATTTACACATCTAGACTCAGCTTTTTCAATTTGCACACTACTAAAATAGTTGAATAGACCCTCTGGAGGATGGGGGTTAAGGAATAGCCTTGCTCAGTACAGGTGCCTTCTACAGACCCTGCTCTGTGTGGCCCTGATGGTCCAACTGGAATGAAATCAGAGGGAGATAAAGAAATTTTTGTAAAAGGCATCAAGTCATGACTTGAAAACTTGTATCACTCCCTGCAAATATTAAAAATGTGTAATAATTCTGATGGACACTGAACTATGCTTTATTTAAGTGTAAGGCCATTTTTTCTGTTAGGAAGTATCTTGTGTAATATTCTAGTCCTTCAGGTGTTACAGAGTAGCCTGAAGACCTTTCCCAGTAAAGCACTTAACCCTTGATCAAGACACTATTTCCGTGCCAACTGTCTGTAACATGTTACTGTCAGAAATAGGTTTTCTCTTCAGGCTTCAATCTATTGTAGTTTTCTCTGTGCACTCTTGAACTGTTGATATCCTTCCTAAATTAGGCTTTTCAGAACAGGCTGTGCTGTTCTCATCCTTCTCAGTCATCATCTTTTTTTTCCAAAGAATAAGTAATTTTCCTTTTTTCATCAAGGATCTAATTTTTTTCATACACAGCTGTGATGAATTAGACTTGACTGCTTCCCTTTTCCTCTCCCCTCCACCACAGTGATATGGTATCTGTTTTCCTTTTTGCAGGCTGCTCAAAGCAGCAAAATAAGGTACATGCTGTGAAAATTGCCATTTTTTGGTCGTAATTCTACTTTGGGGAATTGCAGCAAAACTGGATCTCTTAAAAACACTATTGAAAGAATAATTTCCTTACTCCAGTCAACAGCTAGATGACATCTGTCCCATACACAGTTCTTACAGCATTCGCTTCCAGCAGGTTTTTTCTTTTATTTCTTAACAAACAAAGGGATTTTGGCTCCTTTGTAGGAATTTGGTGGAAGAAATGAGGGGAATGGAGAAGTGCTGTGTTGTGCTCTTGGCTGTGTTCTCTCTGTGTGTCCCTGTGCCCCGTTGGTGCAGTGTCTCATGGCAGGGGCTGTGCTTGCAGGGCACGATGGAGGACAAGATCTACGACCGCCAGGTGACCAAGCAGTCGCTGTCCTTCCGCGTGGTGGACCAGCAGCAGGTGGAGCGGCACTTCACCATGAACGAGCTCACAGAGCTCTACACCTTCGAGCCAGACCTGCTGGACGACCCCAACTCGGAAAAGAAGAAGAAGAGAGACACCCCCATGTTACCCAAAGTAGGTCGATGCCCAGCGCTGGGCACTCCGTGCTGTGACAGTGACTTGCGTCTGTGTAAGGATAGGAAATAGTTCATCTTGGCAGCAGAGTGTTGTTTTCACTGTAGAGCAGTGTTGTCCACTTTGGAGGGAGGTGAACAGCAGGGAACGCAACAAAATACATAATTAATATAATAGATGGTATAATGAGCTGCATAAGGAGTTCCCTTCGGTGTGACAGTGTAAGACAAAGATATTCAATTAAAAGATGAAGCTTTTAAGTCAAAACAAACAAAGACACATTTTTACACTGTTTGAGTGAATAGAAGTTTTACTGCGTGAAACTGGAGGCCAAAATTCAAATTAACATCTGAGTGGATGCTCGTGATACCCAGCACAACCTCAGTTTGTGGTAACAAAGCTCTGAGGTGACACTGTACTTGGAGGTCTGTTTTTTATCTGACTAGATAAGAGTCCAGTTAATCCATGCTCTCCTTTCCAACATGTTTTGGTTTTTAGTTCCTTGTTTACCTCTTCTTGAAGGGACTATTAATAGACATATGGTAGAGACATATGGTAGAGGGGGAAAGTTGCACTAGTCAGGCAGGAGTGAGCTTTAGGGAAAAGAGGAACTGGTTCTGTTATTTTATTCTTTTTATCCAAGTCACTTTAAGATTAGGCTACAGTTTTATACTTATATACTCTGTTTATGTAGTCTGCTAAAGATTAGTTCATCATTTAGCTGTTGTGCAGTTCTCTTTCCTTCTTACAGGTGAACAGCTGGGGAACAGTAACATGTCGATGTGTCCTTTGTTAACTGGTTAAATTTCTGTGTTTTGGTCACTCCACAGTGTCTGGGGGGGGGGAGGGAGATTTTCCAGTTTGTAAATCTATTCATTTCCTAGGAAAAATGGTATGTTTTCCATTCTCAACTCTGTGTAGACCACCATAGTGCAATCAGTTGTGGTCAGGCATCACAGTGGATTGTTAATTCTCTGCCCCAGCCCCTGGAGCACCTGCAGTGTGGGTGCAGATGTGGGGAGTGGGAGCCCTGTGTCAGGCACTGTTCCCCAGGCACTGTGACCCCCTGGCACACACACTGTGCTGCCTCTGTCTGAGCTCTCTTTATTACAGTTTCTCACTGGAAGCACCACATTGTAGATAACTGAAAATTATATTCCACTTTTTTACTGTGTTGTGCATTTTGATTTTGGCAAATTCTTTAGTTTTCCCCCTAAAGCAACTTCCTTTAGGTTGTAATTAATAGTGTTTTATCTTTTATACATTCTTAATTATTTCACACCATGTGCATTTATGCCTCCACAAACTCATAGCTAATGTTTCACCATTTACTGCTGTTGCTACTTATTTTTAAAAGCTTAGAAATAGGTTGAAAACCTGTGAAGCAGCTGAGTCTGTTTACCCAAAGCATTGATCAATCCAGTGCAATAATTATATTTTGAAGGTTATTTGTTTTCTTTTACAAAAATAAATCAATTAATGGATGAGTATAATGTAGAAGAGAAAGTTTATAAGCTCCAAACTTGCTTTATCCTTCAGTTTTGCATATTAAGTTCCATCAGTGTAAGGCTTATGTAAGTCAAGTTGAATACAAGCTTTTGACTGTTTCCTGACTGTAAATAGAGTAAATCTGTGCACTGGAATAGTTTTGGGGGGGGGTTTTCATGGTTTTAGCAAATAGTATTTCATCCTTTTGAAGATGTGCATCTGAGTACATGCTGTGTGCAGATTTCTAATCTCTTTTTATTATTGGTTGAAAAGGCTATAAATCATCATCAAGTACATTCATCTTATTTTAGCCATTTCTGTATTTATTTCTAGAAAAAAGGACTTTGTGTTCCAAATAACCTCAGAGAATATGGGAAGCTACCTGTTAATCCCCAAATATTCCTTCCCTTTCTCTGTCCCCCAGACTAGTCTTGGCAGTGAGGAAGAGCCGTGCTGGGTTCCCTCAGGTCCTCCAGAAGCTGCTGGTGGGAAGTAGGGAATTCCCAGTGTATGGACTGAGCTGGCTGGCTCATTTTTGGCAGCATCTGTGAAGCTCAGCTGACTGGGGTCTTGTATTTTCAATTTATCCACAGTGAGGTTCTTGCTTTGCTCACAGAACAGCTGGTCCAGTAGTTGCAGTGTCTCCTTCCTTGATTCCTGCAACCTGTTTAATTGAACTTTGGCTCAGGCCTTAGTTATAATATCACAGTTCAATTTTGTTTTATTTCCCATTCTGTCTTTTTTGGTCGAGCCAGTTCTCTAAAACCCCCACATAAACAATGAAAAGAAATATCAGCAGTAGGAAATATTGCAGTGGGTGTTATTCTCTAAGCTGTGCAAGGTTATTCACTCAGTTAAGTATTCTTCATTTCATTGTGATTTTAGCAAATATGCATGATCTATCTTAATAATTACAAATCTTAACTAGTTAATTTAACAGCTGAGCTTTTTTTTAAAGTCGATGTAAGTCTATTGAAATGAAAACATTTTATTGTAACATCAAGTAATCACACAGCATTTAGAGACAAAAATTCTCTTTAGGATCATGTTGCATGATGCTCTGATGCTTTGTCATGGTGGGCTCAGCACCCAAGCCCATCCCTGCAGCTCTTCCCTGGAAACAAAGGCCACTGGAGCTTCACCTGGATTGCTGTTCCATCACTGAGCTGTCACAAAGCCTGAGCTGTTCCTCTTTAATTACCAGCAGAGCAAAATAGCTATTTAGGCTAAAAGGAGCTTTAGTTCTGCCTCTGACAGGTTTTGTCTGTAATTGTCTCCTTTTGTCTCCGGGCCTTTTTTACCTCTTCAAAGCCCCGTGTGCTGGGCAGTGCTCTGCCCGTGGAACTGCTGCTGGGCAGGCAGGGAAAAGGACACCTGCAGTGCTTTGACATGGCTTTAGTGTGCAGGGGGAGACACAGCCAGGCACTGAGAGCAGATTCCTCAGAACGTGGGTACAAAGAGCTTTGTTCCATGTTTTCTGGAGGGAATTCGGAATAGGAGTTAGGGGAAATGTTTTCCATCTTTTCTCCAACCATCTATACAAGAACGTGGAAAAAGCTGGAGGGACAATAGGTTTTCTTCTCTGAGACCTTCTTAACTCCAGTGATACCCCACAGTAGGAAGGTTCTTTACAAATCCCTTAGCCAGGGTTCGTGTGTGTCGAGGAGTTATTCAGAGCTGAGTGCTGGGGATTTTCTTGTAGCTCCTAGTTTTAACACACTTTTCAACTTCTTTGATGTAAGAAAAAACAGATTTTTAATTCTTTTGCTTTTAATGGGTTAAGAGAATTCATTCTGTATCGTTTTAAAAGTCAGAAGTAAAAAGCCAGTGAATGAAAAAGCAAATAGTGCTTGATTTTAAAATATATACTTGAGAACTTTGGCTTTGCAATAATCCAAATTTCAGCCCAAGACCAGTTTTCTTCCACACCGTTGTTAAGGAGGGAAGACGTTGAATGCTTCCATTTTATATAAGGAATCACATGACAAATGTGCAATATGTGGAAGTCTATCCAAGTTTCAGGTGAAGTTTTAATTGTAGCAGCAACTTTCTGCCTTTTGTGGTCTGGACAAGACCTCCAGGGGGACGAGGAGCTCGGGGGAAAATGCCTGTTGCTCTGCCCTTGCCCCTCTGTAACAGCTCCTGTGTCTTCAAATATACAAATACTTGGGGTTAACAGAATATTTGTATTATGAATGTTGTTCACATGAATTATTAGGTTAGTCTTAACTTCCACTGCTTGATTTCATTCATCCCCTGTCTCTACACAGCTGGAAAGGACTGATTTGGAATTTCAGTCCAAAAAAGGTGTACTAGGTATCTTAAGACTGAGTAGTCACTTGGTCAAATATGCTGTATTTAGGTATAGAAATAATTACAGTATAATTTACAGAAGATTAAGCATAGACCATGAGCTTTATAATGTAGTGACTCCTTATCTAACCCACAGTAAAAACAGCTTGAAAAAGCAGGTTTTGTTGTTAATTTTGTAGAGTAGCAGCAATTCAAAAGGAGAGGATGGGGTAAAGTGAGAAAATTCTGTTGAGTGTATTATGGTTGTGCTACGTTTTGCTTTGCTCTGAATTTAACAGTGGATCCAGAGCCTTTTCTTGAACCAGTGAGATTTATGACTGAGCTACTGGCTTGAGGTTTTGTCAAGTAGGTTCTCCCAGACTCGGAACACTCTGCTCTGGGGGCTTTGTGTGCTGGGCTGGATGGGGCTGACACAAATCCCCAGGGATCAGGGTGTGATCCTGGGGTTTACCTGGGCCAGTGGGACACGTGTTTCAGAGCACTGGAGATGGGGGAGGTGGACAGAGACAATACTGGGGGGCCCTCTGTGTCCTTGGGAGCTGGAACTGTTGCACCCTCTGCCCTGGGCTTATTCTTCCCCACATGAGCCTCTTCAGTGGATTAGAGTCACTCACATTTGTATTTATGTGAAATGAAAACTTGGCTCAGTTGAGGTCATGTAATACAGATTGGGAAAGCAGATTAGAGTCATAGTTGGGGTTCAGTTGGATATATAATATCATTATTTTATACTACCTCAGGACATAGCCAGAGCATGTGTTTGACTGTAGTTCCATACGAGGGGACAACTTCATGAATTTTGATCTCAGAATCGGAAGAACTTGCTGCTTATTTTTTTATATTTTACCTCGGTATTTAATGTTCAATTGGTTGAGAAAAACTTTTTTATGAATTACAATGTAACTCACATTCCTTCATGGAAGATTTCCTTTCTAATACATTTCTCTCTCCATAGCATTTAATTTCTATCAGGATTTATAAAAGACAACCCTTTTTTTTTAAATTCAAAAACTTTTAAAAGTCTCTCAATTTTTTTCCTTCATCCTGAAGCTTTTAAACCAACTGATAATCATTATCAACAAACTAAACAAATTAAAAGAAAAATTATTCTGATGATTTTTCATATGTAAGGTGGATTTATTATTTTTTCATAGTAAAATTAACCCAAAAGGTAGTTTAGTCCATATCCCAATTTTCAAGCTCCATCATTAAAGTTAATGAAAAATAAAGTTTAGACAAAGAAAAGCAAACACAGAGTTGGATGTAATTTAAAGCACATTTTGAAGCCTGTGCTGCTAAGTGGGGGTGGATTATGTTGCAGTGTAGTGTGTTCCCATGGCAGGTCATGCACGTCCAGGAGCCTCCACACTGGGATTCAGCTCCGCTGAGAGCACGGGAGCCGTGCCCACTTGTCTGGGGCTCTTGGCTTCTTCCCCCACTGCCCTGGGGCCTTTTCATCAGCCCTGTTATGGCACCCCTTGTCTCTCTCTGCCTTCTCTCTCAGCACCCCAGAATCCCAGCGTTTGTTCCTTGTGCCCATTAGTTGTGCAGGTACCACATGGAATGTTCTGTTGAGGAGCTGGCAATGAAAACGATGATTCAAATTCAGGGAGACCAAATAGTACAAGGATGAAACAAGGACCAGCTTTTACATAATTGGTTAACATAACTAAGTTTTAAAACACATGGAAACAAACATCTTTCTGTAGCTGCTGTGACAGAACCTCTGGTCAGGACTTCCACACACTGTTCCCAGAGGGGTTGCAAAAATCAATTTGTCTGTGGGCACAGGCCATTCTTTCCAGTCATTGTTCCATGGAGATTTTGAAGTGTCAGGGTAGGATTGGTTGGATTCCTGCTTGTACAAAGGGCTGGCAGAATGAGGTCATGATGTGAGGGGGACTGTAGGTACTCATATGACTGCTGCACGAAGTGTGCTCACTGCCTTTCAGGAGTGGTCCAGAAGTTCAGTGATGTTTTTATATAAGGAATTTTAGACTGAATGCTGAGGCATATATTGGAGCTCATCAAGCTCATCAGTGATACAAGTGCATGTAAAAAACCCATGTTGAATAATGATTTCCAAAAGGGAACTCCTGTGGTGCAGCAGGAGCAGTTTTTTATAGTCCTGCAGAGCATGTTTTTCTTCATCCCTTGCAGCATTACCCTTATTCAGGCAGAGAGTCATCATCTTTGAAAAACTGGAGATGTTGCCTCAGTGAGAATGAGGATGGCAAACCCATTACTGCCTGCCTTGAAATGCCAGCTTTCCACACTTACTTTCTGTGTCTGATTTTATATCACTTCTTAGCCGAGGTATTCACCTGTCATAACGTGGCATCTGCAGTCCAGACAAGGGCAGTGGCAGCTTAATATTTTGGTTGGCAGCCAGTTTGGTTTTGCTTTATCTAGGAAATATTCAACATGCTGGTAACTCTGCATGTTTCAAAAAAACAGTAATAGGACTTATATAATTTGTAGTATTAGAAATCATAGACTGAATGCTAAGCTATACTGGAGATTTTATATATATATGTGTGTGTGTTTTGTGTGTGTGTGTGTATACACACATACACACTGAACCTGGTCTAGTGGAAGGTGTCCCTGCCCATGACAGGGTATTGGAATTACTTGGTCTTTAAGGTCCCTTCCAACCCAAACCATTATGTGATTTATATATTTTATATATGAAAACAATTAAGCATTAGAGATATTGTGGAATATGAAGGTCTAAATTGCAACCTGCTGATCTAATCTGGTTCATAGCAGTGCTTTGACCTTTCTTAGTCCAGAAGGGTGGGGAACTATTTATGTCAACATGTATCTGAACAGTTTTAAGAGAGCAGCCTTTTCTTTTGAATGCTGATAGACAGTTGATAGTCCCAAAGTACTGCTCAGTGTTTTAAAGCCTGCAGAGATGCTCTTTATGTATAATAAATGCAGATTATTGATTGTGCTCTTAGGTGTCCAACCCAAGCGAAGGAAAAATCATTGAGCACGTTCCATTCTTTTTAGGTTCTTAAAGTGCATTTAGTGCTGTGGAATCTGAGTGCATTCCCTTGGTTCATGAAGTGATTGGACTGTCATCTCTGCAACAGATTGTGAATCCATTCCCTGTCTTCTGAGGAAAATTGTACTTTTAAATTATTTTTGAGTTTTGTTGTGCTGTGCAGTGCTCCGAGCTGCTGTGTGTGACAGGGAGTAAATACAGCAGAGCTGCTGAGTGACTTTTCATTTTATCTCCTCCTGTGAACAGGACACAATCCTGGCAGAATTGCTTCAGATCAACAAAGAGTATATAGTTGGATATCACGAACATGATTCACTCCTGGACCATAAGGAGGAAGAGGAACTCACTGAAGAAGAAAGGAAGGCAGCCTGGGCAGAATATGAAGCAGAGAAGAAGGTAAAGCTGTCTAATCAGGTTTATGTCTCTGAAAATAACCTTTCCAGCCTTAGAGTATCAGTTACCTTTTCAGTTTGTCTTGGGAGAACAAAGTTTTCTTAAAGACCAAAAAATGAATATAAAAAGCAAACTTTGACATACAAAAAAAAGATAACGTGTCTTTTTTGCTCTCTTGATGCTGGTCCTTTCTGTGTGTTTTCTTAATAACTTTTAAATTAAAGTAACATTTGCACACATATATTTTTTCTATTTTATAATAAAACTCAACTGGTGTCCTGTGTAATACCTCTTTTACCATTTGAGGGTGTCCCTGCAAGGAGGTCTGTGTAGTATCCACACTCCAATAACATATAGAACAATATTTAACAATGACCATAATACGACAGAGATCAGCAAAATTCCAGTAGGGTACAACAGTAGATCTGGAATTCCTCTTGTGGTTGGGGTCCCCCCAGTGATGTTCTCCATCTCTCATCCCTCTTTCCAGGACATGGTGTGTTGGGTTGGGGTTCTGTGTCCGTTGTTCTGGGTGTGTTCCAGCAGCTGGCACTGGTTTGTCTCCGTGTGGTTGTTGTAGAAGGCCATGAATTACCAGTTATTAAATTATAAGTGCATTCCGTGTTTTCAAGGGCATCACTATGCGTTTCAACATGCCAACTGGGACCAATATGATTCCCACGAATTTCAACTCTCAAACATATATTCCCTACAATTTGGGGGCTCTGTCAGCAATGAGTAACCAACAGCTGGAGGTAAGTAGCACAACGTGTCTGTGTTGCTGTGGGCATGCAGGGGTTTTCAGTCACAAATTAGGGCTAATATCTCCACCTTTATGTAACTGTATCCTATTTTTGTGTGTGTGGAGCTGTATTGAAGTCTAACTTGCATATAAACCTGGGGACTATGGCAGGATTCTGGAAGATCACCTGCATTCTTTGCAGACAATAGTTAACACATTTGAAACTGTAACATCATCAAGTCTGTATCATAGGCAATTCCCCTGGGGAAGAGTGTGGCACTCCTTGTGCTGCTCTGAAAACATGTGGGTACAAAAAGAGGTTTTTATGAATCCTATCTACAAATTGCCCGATTTATCCTTGCTGTGCAGCTGCTCTGTGCTGGAGGTCAGTCCTGTGCTGGAAGCTTAGACTCATTGACTTGTGCAAATTGAAAGAAAAAAGTAATTGAAGTCTAGGTATGTAAGGACAAAGATGAACAACTTGTAAAATGTTGGCAGAGAAATGTGTTATTTGTATCTGTGCTTTATAGTTGAATTTCTGGTGTTTTCTCAGGACCTTATTAATCAAGGAAGAGAGAAGGTTGTGGAAGCAACCAACAGTGTAGCTGCAGCAAGAATTCAGCCCCTTGAAGACATCATTTCAGCCATAGTGAGTGGAATAGATAATCCTGGCTTTAGATCAGGAGTGGAAAACGTTAAATATTGTCAAAGATGTTGGTACTGCGTGTGGTCATTCAGCTAATTAATTGTTAATGAATATTATTTCCAGTTTGTATTGGCCTTTATCCCTGCAGCTTGCAGTAACCCTAGTGATGTCTGGATGACAGAGAGCCTTAGAGGACTAACAGTTTAGATCCATTCTGAGAACGCTGTTTTTCTATAAATAACAGTCATGGGCAAGTATTTATTTTATCTTGGGGACTGCCACATTTCTCACTTGCTCCCAGTAATTAGCAGTTGAGACTAATTACTCATAGTTCTGATTCTGGTGAAGTACAATTTTGCATTGACGGGAAGTTGGGCTTGTTTGACTCTTGATGCAACTCTGAACATGATGCAAGACCTCAGTCACCATCAGGCTTTTGTTAAAACGACCAGTGCTAGGAAGGTTTTTTTGCCTTTCAGTGGAAAGAAAACGTAACCCTGACAGAGAGCCAAGTGCAGGCCCTGGCACTGAACAGACAGGCGAGCCAGGAGCTGGATGTGAAGCGCCGAGAAGCCATTTACAACGACGTCCTCGGGAAACAGCAGATGGTAAAATGTGTTCCCTTTGTGTATCCACTGTCCACATGTCAGCTGGGATGTCGTGTGTGCTCATTCACAAAGTGCAAGTGCGTGTTTAGGTACAGAAGCATCACTCACAGCAGGTGTTGCAGTGGGTCAGGGGTGTGCTGGGGTGCATTGCTCTGCCTCGGCGAGGGACACTCCGTGTCCATAAAAAAAAATACTCGCCAGGTTTTTGAGTTGAAATTGGTTTGCTGGAAGGTCATGAGGCTTAAAGAGAAATCTGATTCCCAGAGCTCAGACAGCCACTTACAAAATACATCTTAGAAAGTGTTGGTAATGTTGTTTTAGCTTAAAATTACTTTGCAGAATCTGAAAGTGGCCCAGATGATGTCAGTGGGAAGAGTTTTCTCTCAGGCAAACACTGACAGTCCACATGTGGGACTTTCAAAGGGAAGATAAATGGTACCTGACAAATGATGTTGTAACTTATACCTGGGAATAATTTCACAGTGTAGTGCATGTTGCCATGGCAACTCACCTAAATGCTGCCTGCAATACAATAGCCAAGTCATGGGAGAACTGAGCCCTAAATGGTGTTACTAAATGGTTTCTCCAGTAATGGGCTTGTGAATGCCATCACATTAGGGATGGTGATAACAATGGGGCTTTTTCCCCCAGCCATGCTGTCCCTAACAAATTGATTTTTAACTCTGAACCTGATACTTGGAGCATTGAGAGGGTCGTGCACTTACCCAGCTCTGCTTTCCCTTCACAGTTAATCGGTTGTGTCCAGAGGATCCTGATGAACAGGCGGCTCCAGCACCAGTACAACCAGCAGCAGCAGCAGCAGATGTCTTACCAGCAAGCAGCCATGGGCCACCTCATGATGCCAAAGCCTCCAAATTTAATCATGAATCCTTCCAGCTTCCAAGGGATAGATGTGAGAGGAATGTATCAGTCAATGGCTGGTGGGATGCAGCCACCACCCTTACAACGAGCACCACCCCCAATGAGAGGCAAAAATCCAGGGCCTTCCCAAGGGAAATCAATGTGATTTTGCACTAAAAGCCTAAAGGATTGTTAAAATCAGAGAAAGAACTTTTATTTTTTTAGGAATCAATGGCCTAACAGAACTCAACTGTAAAAAAAAAAAAAATTAAAAAGAATTGTTTGGTTGCTCCCCTTAAATGCCATGTTCCATATTAGTGTTTCAGCTTTGTTTAAATTGGACATGATGTTTTCCCTGTTGTCAGTGATGTTGCCTAGAATCTTCTTACATATGTTGAGTACAGGAGATAACAAGTTGTTTTCAGTGAAAACAAGTCCTCCCGTTACAGTAGCATCTCCACAGGTTTCCTGTCTAAACTCCTACGATTGCTTTTCATGGCTGCAAAGCTTTGGGAAGCTTAGGAAGGACTGCAGGTCTGTATGTTCAGTCTGATGTATGTGAATTGTAAACAGCTGAGTTCTTGATTAGAGTTGATTCCTCAAATTATGGAATACTTTTCTGCTTACCCCTTTCTTTCTATTAGTGGGAATGTTACAACAGAAATAGTCCAGTTTCCTTCTGACTGAGGTCTGGGCTTGTGTGGATCGTCTGTGCTGAATGAAACAGGAACTGAAAATACTCTCTGAAACAGAATTGAGTGCAATATTCGTAAATACTACTGCTCTGAACCTTCTGAGTCACAGAGACACTGTGCATCCAGCCTTAACCACGGCTGGGGAAGGGCTGGCCTTCCCTGGTCTTCTGCCATTTCTTATTTTCAGTTCCATGTGATGGAATAGCAGCTGATGATCTCAGAGTGGGAGATGTTTTTCCTTCACACACTAATTTCCTTGATGCAGAGTCCCACCCAAAGCACATTTCTGGTAACTCCTTGGTGCTGGTGCTACTGTCTCTCCCCATTGCCGGCAATGGGAGACGGGCCAACGACGTTCAATTCCTGGTGTTGGGGGTTAAAACAGTGATGGTGGCCAGGGTCAAACCCTGTCAGAGAAACACCTTTAATGTGGCAGAACCATTGCCCATTGAAAATCAATAGAGAAAGTGCTGTAGCAACTTCCAGAGCTGCCAGAACCGTGAAATGATTTTATTAATAGAGTTTTGCTTATGCACTCCTCCCCATCCCTTCACTGTGTGAAAACACGAGTTTGGACACAAGGAGCTTGGGTTTTTTTGTTCTCTTTTGGGGGGGGGGTGTTAATGTAGGCCAGAGGTAAATTTCTGGTTTCTTCTATATCGTTAACACTCTCTTTACCCACACTTGTTGTGCTTGTGAAGATCTCACTAAATACAAATAGAGCTTTTCTTTGACTAGAGTTTGGTTGATTCTTAACCCCCCCCAAAACAAAAGTTTGTAATCTGGGGGTAGAAGTCAGTGGCAGGAACGTTGGAGCGATGGTGTGTGGATGACAGAGGACTCTGGAGACGTTGGCTCCAGGTGGTGCTGGACTCTTCTGACTTGCTGCCGTGAACTAAACTTGTTTTGGTTTCTGGAAAGATTCTTGCAGGAGTTTGAGTTCTTGCCCTGAATGGACAAGTGGGTTTTGCATCTCAATACGCAGATCTTACCCCATGTTTCTGTTTGTGGTTGACACTTGGTGTGTGAGGTGGACAGAGGTTGGTTGGTCTGGTGCAAACCCAGCTGACAAGTTGCTGTCTTGGACTCTTTGATTACAAGATAATACAAAAGCCCCTCAGTGTGTTCTAGTGCTTTGCAGCTCTACAATTAACTCTGATTTGGGGGGAGGGAGAAAAAAGAGACGTGTCTGCACTAGAAGAAACAAACTGTGAGACTTTGAGACAAACATCTGAAGGCAAACGAACTCTGGGCAACTCTCACCGATATTCCTACGTGAATAAGAGAAGTACTTTCTACCAAACCTGGGACTGTTGAATGGAGTTTTACAGTAACTCAAAGACTTAAATGTGGAAGTTTTAGGCAACATTGAAAGGCACATTTTATTTCATTCTGGACAAACCCATGGATAACAGAAGACTAATGCATAAGAAGGAATCCGAGATAAGCCTTGGAATTAAACCTGGACCACTTTGCGTACGTGTTTCTCACTCGACATTTTAGCTGCATAACAATGTGCTTTGAGTATAACATCAGGCTTTAACCAGTACTTAAAGACAGAACATACAGCAGTAAGATAATAAAAGGCTCATTTTTATATTTGTTTTAGATGTTTTAACTAGATAAAATGGCTTAAGATGATGAATAAAAATGTTGCTTGTAATACAGTTTTGCCTGCTAAATTATCCACATTTTGTAACCTGTTTATTCCTTTGGATGTAAAGCGTTTTTGCTTAGTATCGTGATATTGTATATGTTTTGTCCCAGTTGTATAGTAATGTTTCAGTCCATCAACCAGCTTTGGCTGCTGAAATCATACAGCTGTGAAGACTTGCCTTTGTTTCTATTAGATGGCTTTTCAGTTCTGTATTAAATATCTTAAGTACTATAGAAAAGGTGTCCCCTCTTCCTATAAGGCTGTTTTGTAATATATATAAGGACTGGAAATGTGTTTTTAAAGAGAAGAAGCATTCAAGTATGACAATATACTATCTGTGTTTTCACCATTCAAAGTGCTGTTTTAGTAGTTGAAACTTAAACTATTTAATATCTCATTTAATAAAGTGACCAAAATACACGAACGTGCCTTGTTCTACATTCACAACCCAGCGTTAACTCCGAGGGATTCAGCCTGAGGAGGTGTCTTTGGACAACTGTGCTGTGAGTTTAAACTCTACAGCAACAGAGGTAGCCATTGATTTCATTCAGGGAAAATAGCTGTGGTACAGATTTTCAAATTATATTAATTAACAGCAGCTTCTGCCAGTCTGTGAAGAAGAGAGTTATCACCCAGCAGTGAGATGGTCAAGTGAGGTGAAGTTCTACTTAGTCAAATCAGAACAACCCACTGCCATATTTTAGCCTCATAATTGTACTTCTCCATGCCTTAGTTATTAAATCCCACCTGTTAGGAAAAAAAACTCTTTCCTACGCAAAAAAATTGTGTGATGATTGTGTTTTAAATCTGCCCTACCCTTGTTCCCTGTGCTGGAGGGAACTGTGGCTCCTGACAGTGCTGCTTGGGGTGCAGCTGGGGTGGGAGGAAGCTGAGGAAGGGCCGTCAAAGATCATCAGGTTGTGCTCTGAGGGGCACTGTGGGCACTGTGAGCAGTGTGTTCTTAAATATCCCTGTGCCTTTCAACCTGGCTCCACACCTGACAGAGGGCAGTGGGATGGTGGCTGTCCCTGTCCTGGGTAAGTCCCCTGTCAGAGCAGGTGCTGAGTTGCTCCCACGCTGATCGGCTCCGTGTTGATGTGTCACGTCCTCAGTGCCCACCCTGAGTGGTTTCTGGTTTTACCTTGAAAGCAGAACCACTGCACAGAGAAAATAAAACTGAATTCATCAGCTCAAGCAAAAAATAATTTTGAAGTTGGATAAATTTTCAATCTTTATGGAAAGCCAAGTGTCCTAAACATTCCCAGCTGAGGGGTATGGAAGAACAGTGGTGTTGCAGCACCAGCCATGTAATCACACAGCACCTGCTGAGGTGGTGAATAACCCCCTGTGTGCCCTCTGTGCTACAGAACCTACTCTGCAGGTGTGGCACCAGCAGGATTCAATCCAAACCTGTCCTGGGAAGAGCTGTGCTGCTGGGGAGGGTCTGGAGAAGCTCCTGCTCCGTGGTCCTGTGTGTGACCCTGTGTCACTGCTGTGCCTGCAGCCACCACACAGCAGACAGGGGGAAAAGCTGGGATTCATCCAGTCACAGCTCCTGTTCCTGCTTTCCCCAGGGGGGAGGTGGCTTGGGGGTGATTGGAAGAGGGTACTGGGAAAGGGCTGTGGCCTGACATGGGGATGTTGCCCTGGAGAAGGACAGGGCTCAGGGAAGGTGGCACAGGGGGAGGTGGAGTCACCCCTCAGCTTCTGCATGCGGCCACTTCCAAGGTCTGATCTCAAACGCTGCCCTGGCTTTGTGTTAATGATTGGTGTGCACGAAAACCACCTGAGATGGAGTGTGAGACAGTAACTGATACCTGGGGCACTGCTCAAAGCCTGATCCAGGGACAGCAGCTACTTCTGTAATTCAGTTGCACAAAGTGTGTTGCCCATTTTGGGGGTTCTGGCTGGTGCCTGTGAGCAGCAGTGCAGGTGGATGATCTGCCCCTCCTGGTCACGGGCATCGTGGGGCCAAACACCTCCTGGTACGGTGAGGGAAGAGCCTGAGACTCCTTGGTGGATTTGGCTTTGCAGGGCTCCTGCTCAAACCCAGCACGGCCACGAGGCGACACCTGTGGTGTTTTCCATGATGAGAATTTAACAGCTCTGAAGCCATTACTTGCTTTGGGGAAAAAATAATAAATAAATAACCAGTGCTGTCCTAGAGGCTATGGATGTCTTTCTCTCCCCATCAACAGGAATTTCAGCCCTTCTCCTTCAGGAATGCTCCATCCCCGAGTGCCCTCTCAGGAACATCTCAGCTGCAGCACATGTCTCTGGATGCACAGCCAGGTGGGACAGCACCAGAAGGGCTCCTTCCCTGCCTTCCAGCACCGAGTTTCTGGATTCCCTCTGCAGTTTTGGGCTCTCCCTTACTCATTCCAGAGGAGGTAGGTCTTTGGGGCCTCCTCTCCTTAGGAAGGAACCCCAAGCCACACGTTCCACCCAGGAGAGCTCCCTGTGGGCAGTGGGGTCTCTCCTGGGATGTGCCTGAGGACATGTGTATGTTGCCCCTTGTGGGTGTCTGTCCTCAATCCATCCCTGTGCCTCGGATCATGTGCCAAAGCCGGGCAGACGGGCATTGTTGCTGTGCTTGGCTCCACATTGGCCTCAGGCAGGAGGTTCCCCTGTTCCTGTGCCCTCCACAGCGAGACTCCAGCACTTCCCCACCTCTTTGCACCAACCTCCCTCCTGCTCTGCACAGTTGTCCCAGGATAATGTTTCCTGTACAGCATGCCCGCCCCTCTCGGGTGGAAGGAGAAGGGTTGCAGGTGATGCCTTTTGTCCTGTTTGCTGTGGTGTTTCCAGACCTGCAGCCTTTTGTGTGTAGAACAGCACTGGGGGTGGGGGCACCGTGGGGTTTCTGGGGACCTGCCTTTGCCTTCCCTTTGGGAGAAGTTTTCCAGCTGGCTGTTGTGAGCTGGAATCGTATGGAAACCACACAGAGATCCCAAACAAACACTGACATTTCCTTTTGCTAATTCAGGAGCAGAGGCCCCTCGGCCAAGGCTCCGTGTGCTGCTCTGCTGCAGGATCCATCTGCCAGCCCTGGGACACTCCGAGCCGAAGGAGAGTCGGCGTCTCCAGGTGGGGTAACGGCTGGATGGGAGAACAGCCCACAGGGATGGGATGGGCCAGAGAGGGGAGTGTGTCCACGTGAACCCCCTGCCCACCACTGGCTGCTCCCACACCACTCGAAATGCCCCCGGAGTCTGCGGTTGTTCTCTCTGCTGCTGTTCAGCTCCCAGGTCTGTCAGGTCACTCACATCTTTGTTTTGTTGGACCAGGACCAAACCCAGTCGATTCCTGTGAAAGAATCATCTGGGTGGGATTTAGCAATGCTGAATTCCCCCTTTAGGTACCCACACGGGAGATGACACCAACCTTTACCAAGGGGTTTCCAGTAAATTCTTTGTGGATTTTGCTTTTTGCAAGTACCAGTTTTTTGAACCCAGATCCCAAAAAGGCATTTTACAGCATCCCTGGCACCTCTGTTGTGTCTGGAGGCTCTGCTGCAGCAGCTCCTCGAGTCAGGTATCAGATGAATGAGTCCAGCGTTGCACCCATGGGCCACATCATCTTCCCTTTGAGTTGGTGGAAAATGTACTTGGCATTGCTGAGATCGGGTTTTGACCTTCATTTTGGAAAAGAGCAGGATCTTAACCACCAGATTTATCTTCAAGTGCAATGGAAAGCCTGGGCTGGAGGAAGGCAGGATCATCCTGGGGGGCAGAGGGATTTCCCTTCACGCAGGGAAAGGTCAAAAGTGCACCTGAGGACGTGTCTCGTGAGCGCCCGTGCTCCCGGCGTGGCGGCTGGGGGTGAGATGTTTCAGCAGTGACTCAGAGGAAGAAGCTAAATAAACACTTTTTATTTCAAACACGGGATTAAATTCCTTCATGTCTGGATCATTGAAGGTAAAGCTCCTATAATCTCCTCGTTTCCATCCCCAGCCCATTGTCTGGTGGCTGCTGGACCTGCTGGGACAGTGAAGGGACACAGGAGGTGGCAGAGAAGGCAAGAGACAGCTGGGAGCAGATCTGGGCACCAGCTGCCACTGCCCTTAGTGGTGCAGCTCATGAAGAAGCTGGGGTGGATCCTCCCCTAGCTCAGTGAAATTGTCCTGGGAATTCACACACTGAAGCTGAAGGAGATGAGATTTTACCTTGACTGTTTTGTGAGGAGGAGGTTGAGAAACAACACTGTGAACAAAGCAGCTGTGATAAGGAAAACGCCAACCCAAAGCCACCACAGCTGTATTTGTTCAGATTTTTGCACGTTCCAGACAACCCCGTTTGGTACCATCCGTGCTGCAAAGTGACTCTGCAACTGCACATTCCCGCTCCCACCTTGTGCTGGAATCCCTCCCTGCTGATCGCAGGGGACAAAACATAAACGGGGATCCTTCCCGGGAGCTTTCCCCGCAGTTCTGTGCCATCCCAAGCAGGCAGTGAGGGCAGAGGTGTGGCGCGGGTGTCACCCTGTGCTGCCGCGGGAGTGTCCCCGGCCCGGCCTGACCCGAGCAGGGCTGCGGCTCCGGGGATTGCGGCTCTGGGGCTGCGGCTCTGGGGCTGCGGCTCCGGGGATTGCGGCTCCGGGGCTGCGGCTCTGGGACTGCGGCTCTGGGGCTGCGGCTCTGGGGCTGCGGATCTGGGGCTGCGGCTCTGGGACTGCGGCTCTGGGGCTGCCCCGGGCCGGGCTGAGCCCCGCTGGAGGCAGAGCAAAGGCGATGGGCCCGTGGGCCCGGGCAGCTTCTGCAGAGGAGAATGTCACACACGTGCTGCCCGCGGGGATGATCCTCATCCACGGGAATTGCTTAAAAATGAGGGGGTTTAAAATTACTGTTGTTGCTTTCTGGTTTTTCTTCACCGGTTTTCCACGGTGCTTCAGGTGAGTCTCACGACAGACGTGGTGCTTTTATTGCAGGGATGGCAGGCCCATCCAAAATGCAGCAGGTGCTCCGGATGTTTCTCCTCCTGGTTTTGAACAGGACAGTAAATCCACAGTGGCTGCGTCACATCCCGAGGTTTCAGCTGCCCACAACTCCTGCCCAGAGCTGCACCAGCGCTTCCCAGGCTCCTGGAATTTGATGTCATCCTTCTACAGCAGTTTGGGGCTTAGGTAATTGATCTTTACCATCCAAAGCCCTTTTAGAGGTGGTCTCAATGTCCATACTGAAGGGGAAATACTGGTTTAATTGTTGAAGAGAGCCAAAAAAAAAGGGCTAGCAAGAAATCTACAATATAAAGACAATTTTATTGCCAATAAGCTCTTAAAACTTTTTTTTTTCCTGTTTCAGTAGGACCTTATTCTTCCTGATGAAAATCCGGTCATAGCATCTCTCATTAAAAATAAAATTATTTTGAAATAAATAAATATATAAAATAAATATCATATACATTTTATAAATAGTTTTGTCCTTAT